TGAGAGGGATAGGGATGGTCGGGTTCTCCGCGAAGTTGAGGGAGGGTGAGCCAGTGATGTCGGGGAAGATGTGTGAGAGCTGAGGAAGGACTGCATGGAGATCACACAGTTCCTCATGCCTGTCTTCTAGAAGGGTAGAGGGCACATCCCCCCCAGCAGGAGGAGGCGGTGTGATCGCGGTGTATCGAAGAACCATCGCGAGTGGAAGAGTAGCGCGATGTGAGCGAGTGCCATGAGCCACCGGGGAAGAGGGTGGGGCTGGCGGGGTCGGAGAGGGTGACTTAGCAGGCTTGGGCGGGGGAAGGGGTCGCCGGCGGTACGTGATCAGCTCGGGCGACTGTGGGAGAGCGGGTTCCTCTGTGGTGGGGGGAGCCGGGGGAGGAGGTGGGGCCGGAGGGTGGGACCGCCGATGGTAGGTGATAGGTGCGCTCGGAGGGGGCGGCGCAGCGGGAAGTGGGGAAGGTGAGGGGGAGGGAGGAGCAGCTGCCGAAGACACCGGTGAGGCCGGGTCAGTGACCTCAGAGGGAGATGGTGCGATGGCAGGAGAGGGAGGAGGTGAGGGAGCAGGAGCAGGCGGGAGGTCGGGAGGCGCATCAAAGTCTGCCCACACGAGGGAGGGTGGATCAGGGAGAGGGTCCCGTCCCGAAGGGGAGTAGAATGGGCGGGTCTCATCAAAGACAACGTCACGGCTCCTGACCAACTGGTGAGTGGAGGGATTGAGGAAGAGGTAGTCAGGTGAGTCGGCGTTGTGCCCGAGGTAGATGCACGTCTGAGTCTTGGGACCGAGCTTGCCACCGGTATGCCGTCGAGCCTGAGGGTTGAGGAGGACATAGGCGGTGCATCCCCAAACGCGAAGAGAGCGAGCAGTGGGCGTTTTCCCGAGCCAGAGTGTGGTTGGAGTGGTGTCGGGAAGGTGCGGGTGGGGGTAAAGGTTGTAGAGGAGGGCAGCGTGGTAGAGAGCGTACCCCCAAAGAGAGTGAGGAGCGTTGGAGTGGCTGAGGAGGCACCGAGTGATCTGCACCAGGGTGTGGTTGCGGCTCTCAGCTATGCCGTTCTGTTGAGGGCTGTCAGGGAGGGTGAAGTTTTGCTGGATGCCTTCGGAGGAGCAGAAGGCTTTGAGCTTGTCGTTGCAGAACTCACCCCCCCCATCCGAGTGAAGGCGCTTGACCTTGCGGTCAAAAGTGGTCTGTGCCTGCTTGACCCACGCTATGATGACCTCGGGTGCCTCAGCCTTAGTGTGGAGGAGGTGAACAGAGACATAGCGGGAGTGGTCATCCACAATGATAAGGAAGTAGCGATAGCCACCTCGTGCGAGAACAGGGGCAGGGCCCCAGACGTCCATGTGCACGAGGTCCAGTGGTGCTGCAGCGATTGTGGGTGAGGCAGCATGGGGCTGTTGGCGCAGTTTGCTCTTGGTGCAATCAAGGCACGTGGGAGCTGGTGAGTCAGGTGGTGGGGGAAGTGCGGCTGGCAGGCCGAGGAGAAGTTTCTTGGAGGCCATGTCAGCAAGAGTGCGGAAATTTGGGTGCCCGAGCCGATGGTGGTAGAGGATGGTCGGGTTGGAGAGGGTGCGACATGAGCATGGTGTGATAGTGGCCTGTGCTTGGGTGGTTGACACCTGTGGGAGAGGGACGCGTAGCGTGTAGAGGCCGTTGCTGTTGAGGGTGTTGTGGGCCAGAGTTTTGTTGGTGCGTGGATCGATGATGTCGCAATAGTCCTCGTTCTCTGGGAAGATGGTGCGTAGCCCTGCCTCCTGAATTTCTGTTTGGGCAACTAGATTGTGACGCAGTGAAGGCACGCACATGCCAGTGACAGTGCCGGATGGGAAGGCGGGGCATGGGACTGTGGAGGTACCCTTGGCGAGGGTGGTGAAGCTTGAGTCAGCTCCTAAGAGAGGGATAGGTGTTGGGTAAGGTTTGAAGGAGAGGGTCTCCTTGAGCACGGTGTGAGTGGCCCCGCTATCGAGTGTGAACTCTATGTATTGTGGTGCGTGTGATGAGCCGATGTACTGTGAGGTAGCTTCATTAATCATGGCAGTGCCAGGGAACAACAGGTTGATACGCACATCAGCAGGAGCAGCATCACTAGCACTAGTCGAAGCGGGGTCCTGGACCTCAACTAGGTTGGCCTTGCGAGAGCGCATCCAATTCGGCGGCTTCTTGTCCACTCCGTGAATGGCGTACCATTCGTCGTCTTTCTTCTTGAAGCACGTGGCGAGGGGGTGGTTAGTGCCACCACACACTTGTCCCTTGCGATTCCCATACTTGACGACGTAGGGGCACGGAGGAAAGCGGTTGCGCTGGAAGGGCGCCGAGGCGAGAGCCGCTGCGACACTTGCTTGAGGCATGGGAGCGCGGATAGCGTACGCCTTGGCCTGAGCCGTGGAGTCTTTCTCGGCAGAGAGGAGTGCGGTGGAGACCTTAGCAAAGGTGAGGTCCTCTGCTGAGAGTGTGAGGAGCATCTTCCTCGTGACCTCATATGCCGAGGTGAGTCCAACAAGTAGGGCGGCTGCAGGGGCTTGCTCGGGGAAGACTATACCCAGCTCCTTGAGTTCGCCATGAATGGTCTGCACCTTGGCAATGTAATCGGCCATTCCCGAGCAGTCCTCAAGGCGGACCTGAAACATGCTAGGGATGAGAATGGCCACGCCGACCGCCGTCTTGTTCATGAACCGATCCTGAAGGTACTTCCAGATGGCGTTGGAGGTAGGGTAGTTATGGAACGTGTTGACAAGTTCGGGAGGGGTGGAGGCGATGAAGACGCTGATGATGGCAGCATCGGCCTTCTCCCATTTCCGGTACTTCTCAACAGCCTCCTCATACGCCCTCACGTCAGTATCACTTGGAGATTCGGTCGGCTCACGGGGAATAGTAGGCTGTTTCCCCTTGCCACGGTTGAGGAGGACGTCCTTGAGGTCAAGGCCCTGCACGTCACGGCTCAGGAGGTGCTTGTCAACTCCGTAGCTCCACGCCTTGAAGTTGGAGCTAGAGCCATCAGCTTCAAGGCGGAGCGGGGTGATGGGGTTCGCCATGGTGGAAGACGAGAGAGCCATGGTGGAGACCCCTTCTCGCGCGGAGCGCCGCTCTTAAGTCACCGATAGGAACTTCCGCAGCGCGGCGATTCCGAAATCCGACGGACCGGAATAGCGAAAATCGTCAATGTCGGCCGCGTCGGAATGTCACGTAGAAGGTTTTTTTCTTTTTTTTCCTTTTCAGGCCGCCAAAATTAGGTCGAATCGGCCGATTTCCGTAGATCTATCACACATCCCCCCACACACCACCCTCGGCTTCGCGGCTACACGGCTGCTCTGCTTCGCGGCTACACGGCTGCTCGGCTGCGCTGCTGCACCTGTTCAGCTGCGGGAAGGGGGAAGGGGTAGGAGTGCAGATGCGGGGCGACGGGCGGCAGCCCGACGTGAAGCTGCGGGGCGACGGGCGGCGGCCCGACGAGAAGCTGCAGGGCGACGGGCGGCAGCCCGACGAGAAGCTGCGAGGCGACGGGCGGCGGCCCGACGTGAAGCTGCGAGGCGACGGGCGGCGGCCCGACGAGAAGCTGCAGGGCGACGGGCGGCGGCCCGACGAGAAGCTGCGGGGCGACGGGCGGCGGCCCGACGTGAAGCTGCGAGGCGACGGGCGGCGGCCCGACGAGAAGCTGCAGGGCGACGGGCGGCAGCCCGACGAGAAGCTGCAGGGCGACGGGCGGCGGCCCGACGAGGAGGAAAGCGAGCGTTAGGTTATAGCGCGGACGATGCGCTTACCAGATAAATTACCGTCGAAAGTGACGGGAAGGTGCAGCGGGAAAATTTCCGCCGACGAATGTCGCGAATCACCGGCGACGAGGTTGACGATGGCTTCGCCGAGGTTTGCGGGACGAGTATCCGCAGAGGTAAGAAGATCACGATCCGCGTATGCGGTTGAAGGGCTCTGATACCATGTCAGAAATAGGCTTAGAAGCGATGCATTAGTAATGAGCTTGAAGCTCTTTAAGTACATCCAAGAGGGGTAGGAAAAGGATGGGGAAGGGAATCGGGGGCAATCTCTAGGGATTGGGGGTAATCCCAAGGCAATCTCCAATTGGTGGGTTGGAGATTGGTTGGAGATTACATTTGGGTTTGGTTGGGATGTAGGTGTACACCCAACCAAACACAATGTGCAAACTACACTACTCTAGGATATAGAAAATACAAAGTACAAATTGTGAGATTGAAGACTAACACTAACAAACTTTACCCCTTTTCTCCTTTTCTCCTTCTGCGCTTTACTCCCCTTTCCCCCTCCCCCAGTTACAACCTCAACTTGCACGCATGGCTCGATCAACCCTTCCTCCGCCCCTCTGCTGACGTCACCATCCTCCTCCGCCCCTCCCTCACTCTCTCCCCCTCTCACTGGCACTCCTCCTCCTCCTCTCTCCCAGCCGCCCCCCTCTCTCTCCTGCGCGCCCCTGAGCTCGTAGTTTCCTGGAAGCTTCTGGAAGGCCAGGATGTGACCGTTCGCATTCCCAACCTCTCCCTCCGGCCCGATTCGGAGTTAACGCACAGGACAAAGGTCCCGGACGGCGCTGTTTGTCTGGAAGTGGCCCTTCGGGGAACAGTGGTGCTGCAGAGCAAGGGCGGGCAGGAAAAGGCGCTGAGTGCTGAAGCTTCCTGGAAGGTGCTGGCGCCGTTTGAGCCTGGGGGAAGGGCAGCAGCGAATGGGAGCGCGTGGGAGGGGAGTGGGGCGGGGGGAGGGGGAATGGGGCTGGGGGAAGCGGGAATAGGGGGAGCGGAGGGGGGGGATGGGGGGAGAAAGCAAAGGCCAGTCGAAGTGGAGTCTTTGTTTTTGGAAATAAGGGGTGGGGGCGAGGAAGGGATGGGGGAGGGGAAAGGGGGAGGACGGGGGCAGGGGGGCATGGGGGGGTATGTGTTGCGGGTGGTGGGGGAAGCGGGGGAGGGGAAAGGGGGGAGACGGGTGGTGGTGCGGCTGCGGCACCGGCTGGCCAGTGAATGGTCGCCAGGTGTCGTGATGAGAAGCGACGATGAAGGGTGTGTGTATTTGGGGTGGTTGGAAGGGGTGGAGAGTGTTGGGGCGAGGCGGGTGGGGGAGTGGGAGGGAGAGGGGAAGGGGAAGGAACGAGGGGTGGGGGGAGCTGCAGGGGAGAGGGGGAGCTTGGGGAAATGGGGAGAGTGGAGGGGAGGGGAAGGGGATGGGGAAGAGGAAGGGGAGGAGTGGATGGGGTGGATGAAGGAGGAGTGGGAACACGTGTGGCATGTGCATGCACCACGGCTTGCTGTGATTGGTCCACGTGGCAGTGTGGGGGGGAGTTTAGCAGGGAAGCTGCCCTCTCACGTGGTGGTGGTGGGCGGGGAGGAAGGTGCGGATGGTGCGGATGCTGCTGCTGTTGGTGGCGCCACTATCGCACCAGGCTTGGATAAAGTGATTTTGCGGCTGCCCTATGTCTCCCATGCTGCTGCTTCTGCTGCTGCTGGCGATGGTGCTGCTGCTGATGGTTCTGCTGCTGTTGCTGCTGGTGAATTATCCGGCGCTGCTCCTGCGGCTCCACCAGTCTCCCCGTGTCTCTTCCGCGTGGGTGCTGCATCGGAATTCGCAGTGGAGAAAGTGTTTCTGGCGGACTGCACACAGCGACTGAGGATGAGGGAGGTGAGACACAGACACAGGGTGGTTTTGGGATTTATTAAGACCCCGAAACCTGCTGGCTGCTGCATTGGGAGTTGGCAGTGGAAAGAGTGTTCCTGGCTGACTGCATGCAGTGACTGAGGATGAGGGAGGTGAGACACAGACACCCTTATGCTGTTGCTGATGTAATGTCAGAAAGCTGCTGCATCGGAGGTGGCAGTGGACTGCACGCAGCGACTGAGGATGAGAGAGATGAGTGAGACACAGACACAGAGAGGTGAGCAAGAGAGGGTGAGCAAGAGAGGGTGCCGCTGTTTCCACCTTCCCAGCTCTCTCTCCAATACCAACCCTCCTTCCGCATTCTTCTTTCGTTTTTCTATCCTTCTTCAATCATTTTCTCCTCTGTCTACCTCCCATCTCGCTCTGCTCATCCTCCCATCAAACAGGGCTATCTTGAGTTGCTCATCGTACCACCAGGAGACTACTCCCTTTTCCTCCCATGGGACAACGAAACCATCTCCATCCGCGTCCTGCCTCCTCTCCCATTCCCATCCACCCACTCCCCCCCATCCTCCTCCGCACACCCTGCTCCTGCCCCCGTCCCCTCCTCTCTCCCCTGCGCCGGCTGGGCGGTTGACTCGGCGCGCAGAGAGCTCCGAAAGTTGTCGCCCAAGAGCCCGCTCACCATCTGCGCTGCTGCAGTTGGTGGGAGTGGGGTGGTGCCGGGTGGGGGGAGCGGAGGGGGAGGAGGGGGTGCAGGCGCAGGAGAGGGGAGGAAGGTTCTGTGGGTGAAGCTTGGGGGGTGTGGGCCGCGCACACGAGTGCATGTGCTAGTGCGACAAGGGATGGTGGCTAAAGCTGTGCCTGGTGCTGAGCTGAGTGTGTTTGGAGGGGGAGGTGGGGAGGAGGAGGGAGGGGTGGAGGAAGTGTGGAGGGGAGGCGGGTGGGGAGGGGAGGGCGGGGAGGAGGGGAGGGTGGGTTTGGAGGAGGTGGAGAGTGAGTATGGCGAGAAGCAGCTCATGGATGAAGAGATTATGTGAGTGTGAAGGGGGGTCTTGTTTGATACTTTGTTAAAAGGTTGTGAGGGAGTATGGGGAGAAGCAACTGACGGATGAAGAAATGATGTGTGTGTACAAGGGAGGATGAATGTAACTGTACAAGGGAGGATGAATGTGACTGTACAAGGGAGGATGAATGTGACTGTAGAAGGGTGGTGAATGTAACCCTCCTCTTTTTGTGCCCTCCTCTTGGTGTCAGATGGTGTAAGCACCACCACCATTTCATTAACTGAGAGGAAATCAACAGTCTGCTATGTTTGGTCATTTCCTAGGATTGTTACAAATTGCATAAACAGAGCTGCCTTACAGCAGTAAGCACCACCATCATAGCCACTGAGCAGGTCGGGACTTTTCTTATGTGCTTCCAAAATTGTTTCCCTTCTCACCACTATTTCTCCTGTCGTTGGCAGCAGAAGAAGCGAAAGTTTGGCGTTCAAGTTTCCAACTTTGAGATTTACAATAACAAGATCACAGACCTGCTGGCTCCTCCTGGCAAAGTGAAGCATGACAATGTGGGGCACGGCAACGTGAGGCATGTGCCATGTTGACATACCCACGTTGCCGTGCCGCGCTTTATCAGGAGGAGCCAGCAGGTCTGTGATCTTGTTATTGTAAATCTCAAAGTAAGCAACTCGAGCGACAAACTTTCTCTTCTTCTGCTGCCAACAATAGAAGTAATGGTGGTGAGAATGGATACGATTTTGGAAGCACATGATACGAGAACCCTTAATTTACCCACTCACGTTTCTCCCTTTTCCTCTCCATCACTTTCGCTCTTTCCAGCTACGTGCAAAACCGTCAGAAGGCCCTCATCACTGCTAATGGAGAGAAGGAACGGGTGGGGCACCTGCTGCCACTGCCGTCCCTCCTCATCCACCCGCGCGTCACCGCTGCGACCACCACCAAGCGCGCCCCTCCCCCTCCACGCCAACTTCACTCAGATCCCGCTGCAAAGAAGAAGCAGATGATGGGGGTGATGATGCAGCAACGGGGGGGGAGAGGGGGGACCTTTCGGGCAAGTCGGATGGAGTATGACTCCATGTGCGCACCGCAAGCAACCGCATGTTTCGCTGCCTTTGGAGGGATGGCAGAGAAGATGCGTTACAGTGGGGGTGTCGGATATTCGGCCTCGTACCAGTCGGGTCCGCCTCCCAAGCACGCCCCGCTGTTTGCCCCGCCGCCCACTCTCATTGCCAATCTGAGGCCTTTTGTTGGGTCTGAGAGAGGAAGGGGTGGAGGGGAGGGTGATGAAGAGGGGAAGGATTGGTGGGTTGCAGTGCCGAGATCCTCCCTGCCACGTGGCAGTCTGTCATTGACTGTTGTGGCTGTGGACTCGGGGGAGGGTGCGTGGGGGTGCCAGGTGGCGCGCTGTGATTTGCTCGTTCCGGAGGAGGCCTGGGGGGAGGAGGAGGGGAGTGAGGGGGAGAGGGGGAGGGAGGAGAGGGGGAGGGAGTGGGTGGTGCAGGAGGCGTTGAATCCAGCTAAGCATTACCATGAGAGGAGGGCGGTGGAGGTGTGGAGGAGAGGAGAGGTGCATCGCATTGCTGACGTGGCAATGGCACAGGTGGCGGTGAGTCCCTGTGATCCCGGTCCCACCCACCGCACCTCATTGCACCTTACTAACCTTGCCGCACTTCACCACACCTCACCGCACCGCACCACACTCCACTACCCCCTTGTCCCCCCCCGCATCTCAGATATTTGACTCCATCGAACGAGCCCACGGCCTATTGGCCAGCTTCATCACCCCGTCAGAGCGCGACACATGGCAGCAGCTGGCCTTCCTGCTGCAGTGGCCGGGCATGGCAGTGGGCGGCAAGGTGGACAAGCTGCAGCGCTTTGGCTCGCACGAGCTGCACCTGTTTCTTTTCTTCCATGACAATGCCTTCTTTCTAAAGCATGGTAAGCAGTGGCCGGGCATGGCAGTGGGCGGCAAAGTGGACAAGCTGCAGCGCTTCGGCTCCCATGAGTTGCTTCTGTTTCTATTCTTCCACGACCATGCCTTCTTCGTGAAGCACGGTAAGCACGTCTTGTGCTTTGCGGCATGGCACTTAAAGGCTGATCTTAGCTTGGACCTCCTCCCACGAGCTGCACCTCTTCCTCTTCTTCCACGACCATGCCTTCTTCGTGAAACACGGTAAGCAGTAGTGGCGGGGCATGCCAGAGGGCAAGAGCGTCAGCTCGCACGAGCTGCACCTCTTCCTCTTCTTCCACGACCATGCCTTCTTTCTTAAACATGGTACTTAGTGGTGTTTTTTCAAGTCGTTTCTGTTGTTCTAGTCGTTACTCCACCTCGCACAGGCTGACCCTTCTCCTCTTCTTTCGCAACAATGCCCCTTTTGTTAAACGCGGTGCGCTGCCCATTGCATACTGGGTTATCTACACTCAAGACGTGCTGATGATGTTCTACACGTATTCTTCACACTCTAAGTGATTCTGCTTCGCATGCATCCAATTTTAAGCACGTACAGTTTTTTGCACTGTAATGTTGTCCTTACAACTGTTCAATGAAGTCCCACTTTCCTTTCGCTTCCCCACTTTCCTTTCGCTTCGCTACTTTCCTTACACTCCATCTGGCAGTGCGGCCTGCAATCGCCTCCAAGCTCGACCGCTCCTTCCTCGACCTCTGGCTGCTGGGCGACCTTGACGGGGTGAGATGCGGTTTGATGCGGTGGAATGGGGTGAGATGCGTTTCCAATGGATGTGGTGAGACGGGAGAGACATGTCTTTTATGGCTTTCTCTGTGTTGAGGCTGCTCCCCTCCTTCCCTCCCATTCCCATCAGCATCGCCAAATATTGTCCCTACCCAAGGTGACTTGTGAGTCGACTCAGAAGTCACCTCGTCAGCACTCACCGAACATTGCCCCTACCCCTCACACCCACCAGGTGGTTTTCTTTCTGCGCCCTGCCTGCCTATCTCAATTCCAAACCGCTTGAGAAGTGCCTGCTGGGGCTGGCCGTGTAAATGCCACGTGCTGCTCCCTCCTCGCAATCTCAAAACCCCCCTCCACCTTTCTCTTCCCGCCCACCTTTCTTTCCTACCCCATGCCTACCAGGTGCTTTCCTTCTGCGCGCTGCCAGCCTACCTCAATCTCAATGCACTCGAGAGGTGCCTGCTGGGGCTGGCCGTGTGCTTCCACGTGCTGCTGCAGCACAAAGGCCTACGACCTCTCGACTGGCCGTACCAGACGCACATCATCCATCCCAGTGAAGGTAAGGCTGTGCTGCCTCCCATTGTCTCTTCGCTGCTGCCCCCGCCAGCCGTTCGCTATATATATTTCTTGTCCCCCTTCTTCCCCCTCTTCCCCCTCTCACCCCTTCTTTCGCTTCTCCACGCTTCTCCGCCTTCTCCCTGTTTCTCCTGTTGAAAAGCTAGAAGAGATACATTGAATAATGAGCCAAGAGGCCCTTTAGTACAAACAATGAGCAAGAGAGAGATGAAAGGGAAGCTTACCCTATTGGCCAATAAGTTGGCCAATGGGTGAGCTTGCTTGTGACCCAAGCAACCACAAATGTGTGTTGGTTGGGATTGGTTGAGCTAGGGACCAATCCCAACCAACCACAAAATGTGGTTGGAGGGTACACTAAACAACCCCCAATTTATAAGTGTACTACAGATCTAATTCTAGCCTATGTATGTTGTACAAATTATGAAATTACAACACAACCCCCCAACATGCATAAGGCTAGAAGGCTAGAATCAAGAGGCGGGAGGCGACTTAGGAGGAGTGAGGCCAAGAAGACGAAGTAGGAAAGAGTGAGCGACATGAGGAAGAGCTTTTGTGAAGATGTCGGCAAGGTTGGCCGCCGAGTCAACCTTGTCGAGCCGAAGGTGCCCCGCCTGAACAAGATCGCGAATGAAGAAATGACGGAGCTCAATGTGCTTGGAACGCCCGTGAAACACGGCATCTTTGGTGAGGTGAATGGTACTGGCATTGTCACACCAAATGGTGGGACAGCGCTGGGGGGCACCAAGTTCCTCAAGGAGGAAGGTGAGCCAGCGGGCCTCTTGCGCAGCCATGGTGGCGGCATACAACTCCGCCTCGCAGGAGGAGAGGGCGACAGCCGAGGAGCGGGTGGAGCGCCAGCTGATAAGGCCGCTGCCAAGAGAGAAGCCATAGCCCTGGGAGGAGCGACGATCTGGCTGGGAATCAGCCCAGGAGGAGTCACTGTAGCCGCTGAGGGTAGGTGGGGAGGGGCCGCCGAGGGTAGAACATAGTCCTTGGTGCCACGAAGGTACCGGAGGACACGCTTGGCGGCCTGCCAGTGCTCTTCCGTATGCTTGCCTGCGCCAACAAAACGAGCGAGGACGCTGATGGGGTAGGCAAGGTCAGGGCGAGTGGAGACCATGGCGTACATGAAATTACAACATCTCCCTCTTCTCCAACCTAGCTGCTGCGATCAATCACAAACGGCGCATCGCAAAACATGGAGAGCAAGGAGGTGCAGAGCCTCAAGAGCTAGATAAAGAAGTTGAAGAAGAACGTAGGGGAGAAGGTGAAAGAGGTGGGTGAAACGAGGACTCCAGTTAAAGAGGCTGAAAGGAGTGCTCTGAATAGGGCGAAAAGGAGTGCGCACAATGTTTTGGGATGTAGCGTTCATGAGTGTGCGCACTCTTCTCAGCCCCATTCTGAGCGCTCTCAGCCCCTTTAACTAGAGTCCTCGTCTCACCTCACCCACCTTTTTCGCCTTCTCACCTACTTTCTTCTTCAACCCCTTTATCTGACTCCTGGAAAAACTGCACCTTCTTGATTTCCATGTTTTTTTATGCGCCGTTTGTGAGTAATCGCATGAACTCCCGCGCTACCCTCACCAGCGCTAGCAGCGCAGGCAGCAGCAGCGTTCTACCGTCACTTCACCACAACCCTCGCCCGCCAATTATCCTCTTTGTTCCCCTCTCTCCCCCATATTTTTCCCTCCCCATTTCAGTCCTGGACGATCTAATCACCCTGGCAGCACCACCAACACCAGCGCTAGCAGCGCAGGCAGCAGCAGCGTCCTACCGTCGCTTCACCACGGCAATCGCCTGCCACTCACCATGAGCCATTTCCCCTTTCTCCCCCTTTCTCCCCCCTTTCTCCCCCATTTCTCCCCGCTTTCTCCCCCCTACTTCCCCCTTCTTCCCCCTTCCTCCCCATTTCAGTCCTGGACGATCTAATCACGCTGGCAGCACCACCAACACCAGCGCTAGCAGCGCAGGCAGCAGCAGCCTCCTACCGTCGCTTCACAACAACCCTCGCCAGACACTCACCTTGTCCCTTCTCTCCCCTGGACCCTGCTTTTCCCCATTCAGTCCTGGACGATCTAATCACGCTGGCAGCACCACCCACAGCAGCGCTAGCAGGGCAGGCAGCAGCAGCGTCCTATCGTCGCTTCACCACAGCCCTCGCCAGCCGTAGCGATCTCCGCCCCCGCGCCGCTCCCACCGAACCTCCCGCCAAACCTGCCGCCGAAGCTGCTGCTCCGAAAGGGCCCCTTCCGCCTCCCCTTGGCGCTGGTCCCCTTTCCGCCCCCCTGCCCCTGGCGCTGCCTTATTTGGGGGCTTTAGGGGGGCGGCGCCGCCGCCACCTCCTCCTCCTTCTCTAGGCGGCCCTCCTCCTCCTCCTCCACCCCCTCCTGCCGCTGGCATTAGTTTCGATTCCGATTTGATTGAGCAGGTGAGAACACTGACAAAGTTGTTTTGGACTGGTCAGTTTTATGTGTTGCCATAGGCGCATCTGCGTGACATGTGGTGGAGCGGAGCACATCCCTTCCTCGTACCCTTCAAGGCGCCTGCCCCTGTCCGTCCTGCTGCAACATATGGTGTGTACATGGGAAGGTGAGGTACGAACGGCAGTGGTTTAGGCCTGTCAGTGTGGCGTGTGTTTTCTTGGACGCCTCACTATGGCATGGCATGTATGTTTCAAGGTGACTATTGAGTCGCCTCACAAGTCATTTCGTGGAGGTGAGGCATTATCAAAGTCGTTTCAGTTGTGTCTAGCAGGTAACACTGTCTCCTGCTGCTGCTTCTTCTGCTGCTGCTGCTGCTGCTGCTCCTACCAGGAAGAGGAGGAGGAAGAAGAAGAGGAGGAAGAGGAGGAGGAGGATGAGGAAACGGACGAGGATGAAAGCGGATCGTCCAACGTGGAATTGGAGGAGGAGGGAGAGGACGGGGGCTATGCAGATGGCTGTGCATACGGGGGTGATGGATTTGATCCGTACTTGGAGCCAGAGAAAGCAAAAAAGAAACGAGGTGGTAGGCTGTAGGCTGTAGGCTGTAGGCTGTAGGCAGAAGGTTGTGGGTGGTGGGTGGTACAGGATCAACTGATATAACGCGTAGAGAGGGTGTCTTTGAGACGCCTCAAAACCACCCTCTCTACACGCGGATCAGCTCAACTGTTATAACAACTCTCTACAACGCACCAACTTTTTTCCTCCTTTTTTCCTCCTTTTTTCCTCCTTTTTTCCTCCTTTCTTTTTTCCTCCTTTTTTCCTCCTTTCTCTCCGCTTTTTGAGACGTCTCAGAAACACCCTCGCTACACGTGCTGGCTTTTGAGAATTCTCAAAAACCAAGGGGTGGTGCAGAAGCTCTTTGACGACGATGAGGAAGGGGAGTCAGCTTTTGAGAGCCCTCTGATGACGTCTCAAAAGCTGGCTACAACACACATCTTCTTTTTCTCCTCCTTGTTCTGTCTGTTCATCTCCCTGCAGCCTCAGATGCGATATATGTCAGCAGCACCAGGAGGGGGAGGGGGAGCAGCAGGGGCGCTGCGCTTCATCTGCGACGGCTGTGGCGCCGACCCCATCAGGGGACCCCGTTATCGCTCCCTTGTGTACGTCCTCTCTGCTTCTCCTCAGTGTCCCTCTCTGCTTCTCCTCAGTGTCCCTCTCTGCTTCTCCTCAGTGTCCCTCTCTGCTTCTCCTCAGTGTCCCTCTCTGCTTCTCCTCAGTGTCCCTCTCTGCTTCTCCTCAGTGTCTCTCTCTGCTGCCTTGCCTCTCCTCACCTCACCACACCTCTCGTTTCATCTGCGATGGCTGCAACACCGACCCCATCAGGGAACCCCGCTTCCGCTCCCTTGTGTACTCCCTTTCCTCATACCCCTTCCGCCATAACCCATCCCCTCCACTCCCCCCAGTCGGGACGACTACGACCTCTGTGCCTCCTGTTTCGCCACCATGGGCACACCGGGCGAGTACCAGCGATTCGACTCCGCCCCTTCCTTTGGAGCGTTAGCGGCTGTAGAAGAGGAGTCTATGCCTGTACCAGCAGCCCAACAGGTGAGAACAGGGTGCCGTTGAGAATTCTCAAAAACGCCCTGCAAGAACCGGGTGCTTCCACCTTCACTCTGTCCGCTCAGGCAAGAACAGGGTGCCCCCACTTTCACTCCGTCTGGCCCTTCCTTGGGAGCTGCACCAGCAGGAGAGGGCGAGAGTGTGGCTAATGCCACTTTCACTCCGTCTACTTTTGACACGCCTTAAAATTGAGAGCGTGGTTAATACCACTTTCTCTCCGTCTACTTTTGACACGCCTTAAAATTGAGAGCGTGGTTAATACCACTTTCACTCCGTCTACTTTTGACACGCCTTAAAATTGAGAGCGTGGTTAATACCACTTTCACTCCACCTGGCCCTTCCTTCGGTGGAGCAGTGGATGCTGGGGAAGAAGTCTCGATGCCTCTTCTGCCAACACAACGGGTGGGAGCATGGGTGCTACCTACCTCTGTCCCTCTCTACCTCTATCACTCTGGCCCTCGCTTTGGTCCAGGAGCAAGCATGCAATCACTCTCCTTCTCATTTCCCCCTTCTGTCGTCATACTTTAGCTAGTCCCCCCCAGAAGCCTCAGTAATCAGCCAGTATCTTCTGTTTTCCTTTTACTTTCATTCGTTCTCTTCTCTCCCACCCACATTAGCGCCGCACAAGGTGGACGACACTAGGCCCTATCCCGAGTGTCACTTTTTTAAGCGTGCACTTAGCGAGCAGACACCGGACCTCTTTTTCCATTCCCTTCTCCCCCCTCCCTCCCACACCAGCGCTCCCACAAGGTGGACGTCACGAAGCGGTACGCGGAGATACATTACTTCAAGCGTGCACTGAGCGAGCACACACCGGACCTCAACCCTGTTCTATCCTCTTGTTACCTCCTACTTCTCTCCCCTCCCTCCCACCCACACCAGCGCCCCCACAAGGTGGACGTGACGAAGCGCTACGCGAAGACTCACTATTGCAAGCGCGCATTAAGCGAGCAGACACCGGACCTCGTCCCCTCCTCTTTCTTCTCTCCCCTCCCCACCCACCCACCAGTGTGCTCAAAAGGTGGACGTCACCAAGCGCTACGCGGAGACACATTACTTCATGCGCACACTGGACCTCTTTTCCCTTTTTTTTCCCACCCTCTCCAGCGCCCCCACAAGGTGGACGTCACGAAGCGCTACGCCGAGACGCACTATTACAAGCGCGCACTGAGCGAGCACACACCGGACCTCATCCCCTCCTCTCTGTTCTTTCCCCTCCCCACCGACCCACCCACCAGCGCCCTCATAAGGTGGACGTCACAAAACGATACACGGAGACACACTACTTTAAACGCGCATTGAGCGAGCAGACACCGGACCTCGTTCCCTCCTCGCCCTTCTGGGTCGACTTCATGCGCCACATCCTCTCTTCCCTTACCGCCCCGTGCAGTGCCCTCACAAGGTGGACGTCACAAAACGCTACGCCGAGACACATTATTACAAGCGCGCACTGAGCGAGCACACACCGGACCTCGTCCCCTCCTCGCCCTTCTGTCTCCCCTGCCATTCTGTGCAGCGCCCTCACAAGGTGGACGTGACGAAGCGCTACGCGGAGACGCACTATTACAAGCGTGCACTGAGCGAGCAGACACCGGACCTCATCCCCTCCTCGCCCTTCTGGGTCGATTTCATGCGCCACATCCTCTCTTCTGCCGAAGCTGCTGCCGGACCTGCTGCCGAACCTGCTGCCGAACCTGTTGCTGAAGCTTCAGCCACAGCAGCCACAAGCAGCTCTCCGCTTGAGTCGCTCTGCTCCTTTGCTCTCTCCCTCCCTCCCTTCGTGCCCGCATCACTGCACGATGTAGCTTCCACCTCCACTGCTGCTCTCGCTGCCCTTTCCATTCTCGGACTCCGCTTCGGCGGCAAGATAAGGCAAACTGGTGCTATAATAGAGGAGGTTAATAGCGAGGAGACTGGGGGAAGGGCGGGTATGGGAGGTGGGTCAGAAGGGGAGGAGCATGGGTTTTCGTTTAGAGGAACGTCGGTTACAATCACACCAGCTTCGCCCATGGTGGTGTACAAGCAGGAGTTGTGTGAGGTGGGGAGCGGTGCTGCAGCAACAGAAGAAACAGCAGCAGCAAAAGCTCCTCCTTTCCCACTCCTCCCATCCCTTGCCCCTGGAATCCCCTCCATCCTCCTCTCTCAGTCCATTCACACTCTCCTCGCCCCTCCCTCCTCCTCCTCCCCTTTCACCCCCCACTCCTCTCTCCTCTCCTCCACCACCCCCTTCCCCCTCTTCCACTCCTCCCTCTCCACCACCCCATCCATCCACCCCTCCTCACTCCCCTCCACCCCTCCATACCGCACCGGCATCTGCTACCTCCTTCAAATAGTCGTAGTTAATCTCCAGTCCGCGCCACTCCCCCCGCTGCTGCTATTATTCCAAGTTCCCCAGGGTTCCGTGCCTATTTCCCCTCTCGGCCGCCCCACCCAGCGCCTGCGCCTGCCACCGCTACAGCCCTTCCAGAAGCGGGTCTTCACTGCCCTCTTCTACTTCCCCTTTCCTGGAAGCTTCTCGCTCTTCCCTGCGCACCTGCTGCCTGAGGCTGGGTCAGGGGGAGGGGGAGGGGGAGGCGGAGGGGAAGGGGGAGGGGGAGGGGAGGAGCAGGGGACGGATGAGCTCTGGGGTGGTGGCAGTGGCAGCAGGGGTACCGGCATCAATCCCCGTCCTCTCCTCGTCCGAATACGAGCGCATGGAAAGGGAGAGACGCGAAGCCCTTCTCCAGCAGCACCTGCAGGCAGAATCAGCATCATCCGCAGCAGCAGCAGACAGGCAGAGGCAGCAAGCGGGACGCAAGGCACTGTCAGCAGCGGAGGAGGCAGCGCAGAGGGCAGAACTCTGGGAGGTGATCTGCCAGGCAGGCAGCGAGCCTGACATCCTGCGCATGCTGCAAGGCCCCTCCCTGCGCTCGCTCGACCTCGCCCTCCTCCTCCCCCTCATGCCCCACGCGCCTCTCTACCTCTCAGTCACCTCCCTCCTCCGTCGCCGAAAGCTCTTCTCATCCTCCATATGGCAATACTCGCTCTTGCATAAGGACCCTCGGGGAATGTCGGAATACTTAGCATATGAACCGGCCTTCCTTGCTCGTCTCTCCTCCCCAGTTCTCCTCTCCTCTCTGCTGCATATCGAGCCGGGTGCCGCAGGGGCAAGGCTGTCGCTTCGGTACCGGCTGAATGGGAGTGCCGGTGTGCTAGGCTCGGGGGTAGGTTCGGGGCTAGGTCCGGTGTACGAGCATGAGGAGTTCCTGCCGCTGCTGAACCCCCGGGCGCACAGGTTCGGAATGAGTGGTTCGGGCGGGGAAGGGAGGAGGAGAGCGAAGAGGGTTGGAGGAGAGAGCGAGGGAGAGAGGAAAGAGGGGAGAGAGGGGGTGTACGGGAGTGAGGAGGGAGGGTGGGAGGAGGAACCAGGGGTGAACGACATATGGAATGAGCAGCTGTTGGAGCATTATAGTCGGTTCTTGGAGGTGTGTGCGAGGAGGAAGGGCGGCATGAACGCTCAGGAGTGCCTGGCAGCCGCGTACTACCTGCTGGTGCAAGACAGGGTCAAAGAGGCCCACCTCATGTTCCTCCGGGCAGCCTCCGGAAAGATTTTCACCCTGCCTGACACGTGGCGGGCAGCGCTGTGTGGCGGGAACGGGAGTGGTGCTCCTGCTGTGGCTGGTGCTGAGGCTCCTGCTGAAGCTTCTGCTGAGGGTGCTGAGGGTGGCGAGAGTTCCGCTGCTGGTGGTGCTGGTACCACTTGCAGCAGCACCACCAGCAGCTCTGTCCCCTTTACTGACCTCCCTGTTACAGTAAATGTGCAGCTGGCAGCAGATTACATGGCGGCTTTCCTCGACATTCTCCTCTGCCCGACCGACCGCCTGCCCATGGTCGCCCGGGCAGTTGCGAAAAAGTACCGCGCTGTTGACAAGAATGGCGGCAGCAGCGGAGGAAGCTGCCCGGTGGTTTCCTGGAGGAAGCGCTTTGCTGACCTGGGCAAGCAGGTGTATGAAATTTGGATGGCTGCCCGAGCTGCCCGAGCTGCCGGGGCAGGAGGGGGTAACATTGCACAAGGTGGTGAGGTGAGGCATGGAGTGGCTGGGATGGAAGTGCAGGTGCAGAGTGAGAAGGGAATGGGAGGAGGAGGAGGTGGAGGAGAGGGGGTTGGTGGGGGTGGTGATGCATGGGAGTGGGAGGAGGACGATGACTGGGTCCTCACAGGCAGTCAGCCCCCAGCAGGGGCAGCAGGAGGAATTGGAGCAGGGGGAGAAGGAGCAGCGGCAGGAGGAGAAGCAGGAGCAGCAGCAGCAGCGGCGGTTGAAGGCACCACTGCTGCTGACGAGGACATAGCTGACGTGGCACAGCTGGCGGAGTCAGCAGAAGGGGACAGGATGGCAGTGGACCCATTCTCCCTCAAGAGGACCGCCGGACCCAAACCCTCCCAGGAGCCCTTCCTGGACGCCAAGCTGCTGCCCGCCTCTGCTGCTGCTGCCACCGCTGCTGCTGCTGCTGCTGCTGCTGCTTCTGGGACAGCTGGCACCAAACTTGGTACAGTCACGCCGTGTACTGTCACAGCAGCAGCAGCGGTGGTGGGGGTGCGGTATGCGAATGTGGAGAGCATCCGAGTGGACGTGTTTGCGTTCGACGAGGAGACCTTCTTCTCCTCCTCGCCCTTCTCCCTGCTCTCGGGCGCGGCAGCTGCTGCTGGGGAAAGCAGTGTGAAGGACGGCAGCAGTGGCAGGGATGGGAAGGCAGGAGGAGAGGGTGGTAATGGGGTGGGTGGGCCCTCCTCCATCTTTGTGGCTCCCAATTGGTCCACGGTTATCAGCACTGGCAGTGGCAGCAGTGGCGCTGCTGGTGCAGCAGTGCGTGCAGGCAGCAGCAGCAGCCCCAGGGGCAGCAGTGGTAGGAGCAGCAGCAGCGGCAGCATGGTTGTGGCACTGCCATCAGAGTTTGATTCAGAGGCAGTGCTCATCACTGTCTCCTCGGGTGCTCTCACCACCACACTCCTCAGGTGCGTATCCTCACTCAAATATTTCCTCATTCTCCCCTCTGTGCCCTCTCTAGTCTTCCTGTACGCTCTGCTCTTCTCATTTGCCACATGCACTCACCTCACATTCTTGTGAATGCTACCCGTGTAATGCCCACCCTCACACCCGCTCTCGCCCAACCCCTCGCCCCACAGGCCCGTGCACGAGTCTCTTGTGGTAGAGGTGGTGGAGAGGCTGGGTCAGCTGAGGGTGCTTCGCCGCATCCCCACACCCACGCCAGCACCTGCCAATGGCTCTCAGGGAAGCGGAAAAGCGGGTGCAGTGGCGGACAAGTTGCAGTCAGCTCAGGGAACTTTGGTGCCGCTGCCCGGGGCGTATGTGAAAGTTTTCTTCCGCCCGAAGTCAAGGGGGGTTTCAACCCTGTTCAGCGGCAGTGCAGGGGAAGGGAGGGGTGGGGCAGAGTTTTACAAGGATGGGTACACTGACAGGCGAGGGTGGTTTGACTATGCGTTTGTGAGCACCGAGGATGTGGAGAAGGTCGATATGTTTGCTGTACTTGTGACCAAAGAGGGGGCAGGTTCAGTTGTACGCCATGTGAAGCCTCCCAAGGTCTGATATGGATGTGTGTTTGATAAAAGCCTTTTTTTTGCGTCTGCCCAAGGTGTTGTATACATACATGTGGATTGAATGTTCCTTTTTGGAGTGTCATGTCTCTTTTGTGAGTATTTTTGTTGCAAGGCATAATTGCAAGACATATACATGTTTCTGAATGCTTACTGCTTCATGCGTTATATGCATTTTGAGCTGGCCTAATCTCAGTCTAAGTTGAATTGCAGGAGTTGTTCAGTTGTAGATAAGTGCTGTAAATCACTCAGGGTTTTATTCTACTAATATCTGCATACAAATCAAAATTATACAGCATGGGTCTCCCTGAACTCGATTCAGTCACACACTTCACAGCGACTCGGTTTGAACCCAAATTTGCGATTCGACATTCACCACCACCACCCACCCAATTTGTCAGATTGCAAATCGGCAGACTTTCTTCCTGCAGTTCAGTACGTTTCGGTAGGTTTCAAAACGTTCTATTTGGAATCTAAAACGCTTATGAAGGCTTACGAAGAAGTAATCGATGTAGCAGAGGAATCCCAAACATCAACGGCTCTCCTGAATCCTTCTTCCTCCTTCATGCATCCATGGACGGTGGTGAGTTGAGTGGTCTGGTCTCTCGCTATGTATGGGCAATCGTGGTGGGGTGGGGCGATGATGTTTTCTTCAAATAAGTTGTATGCAACCCAATCCCCCAGCCACATTGCGCCACCTCCATTACCGGTAGCTGCTCAGTTCCCTCGGGCTCCGCTCCCATCCTGTGATCCCACATTGAATCCGTCCACTCACTCCTCACCAGCCCATGTCTCATGGGCCTCCCATCCTTTTTGCCTCTTCCTTGAGTAAAACCGGTTTAGAACTTAGCATGTGATTGGTCAAATGGCTTGGCACGTCCCGCAGCCCGCAATCTCCGTTAGCGCTACGAGGGGTTCTTATAGTTCATAGTCTGAGCTGTAGACGCGCCTCGACATGTACGCGGTTTGACTAATAGGGAATTTTCGATCAGCCTCGGAAGTTGCTTGTTTGTCGCGCCACGCTGCAAGTTGCCATTCAAGCACCGCCACGTGTCCGCTCAAGCTCCACGTGGCTCGTTAGCACATCTCGATACGATGGCCCGTCGCGCACACGTTCGAATTTCAGCGGCATTGTTACTGATGCTGCTGTCAGCTACATTGTTACAGCTGCGAGCGTCGCCAACGTCAGCTGCGACATCGTCAGCCGATCTAGCTGCACCGATGGGGGTTACCGCAGGCGGCGGGGTTACCGCACCTGGCGGAGTTGCTACCACAACTAATAGAGTTACCACAGCTGCCGAAAAGAAACCGGCTGGCAGTCGATGTGATATGTTCGCGGGCCGGTAAGCTGCTACCGCCTCGTTCCACCCCGCCTCATTACAGCTGCTAACTACGCACTCTATATCGCTTTTTCTGCTGACTCCTCACCCGCTTCCGGCGCGGCGCCCACACGAGCCACAGTTGGGGCCATGGGAGCACCGCTTGCATTGCATCTCTCCTTGCTGATTGCGAACTTACTTCTGTGTACTTGGAGCGACCCCCGTCTCTCGCTTCCTCCGCTTTCCCCGACTACCTTTTCATACACTTGTTCTCATTTATTTCGTCCTATCCACCTCAACTCGCCCCCTCTCCCCGTCTCACCCACCGCCTAATCCTCCCCCCCACCGCATTGCACCCCTCTCAGCTGGATGCGAACTCATTTCCAGCCGCGGCGCTACACGGGACTCAGCTGCAAGAGCATCGACACGACCTACAACTGCGAGAAGAACGGGCGGAGCAACCTCAAGTACCTCGATTATGAGTGGCGCATCCCCGGCTGTAACATCAAGCGGTGAGTCATTCGGGTGTAGCCTCAAGCGGTGAGTCAATGTCAGAGCGTCTACATGTGCTACATCTGCGATAAGAACGGGCGGGGCAACCTCGAGTACCTCGACTACGAGCGGTGCATCCCCGGTTGTAACATCAAGCGGTGAGCCAATTCCGGCTGTGGCATCTTTCTGGCCTTGATGTAATCTAACCTTGACTCTCCGTGCAATTCTAAGTGTACGAGTGGCGCATCCCCTGCTGTAGCATCAAGCGGCTTCTGCTATGCGTCTTAGGCCATCTCAATCCTTTCTCCACCCACCCACCCAAATCCCCCCCGCGACCAGCATCGTCCCAGCATCATCCCCCCCGCTCTTCCTCGCGGCGACGCGCATCAAGGTCTTTATGATTGTGGGGGACTCCTACGCCCTCTTTCCGCTCACTCCCCACTTCCACTTACCAGCTTCCTCCCCTCATCCGTCGTCCTCATCACACTTCCCCCCTACCGGCTTCCACTCGTCGGTCCTCCTCACCCTGATGCGCAACAAGGCCTATCCTGCTTTCCCTTCAACCCTCACTCCCCCGCACTCCCTTCTCCCTCTGCTAGTTTCGACCCAACAGCCTTCCTCGCGCTGATGCGCAACAAGATCTTCATGATCGTCGGGGACTCGTACGCCCTCCTTCCCCCCACTCCCACTTCCATTTACCAGCTTCCACCGCTCATCATCCCTCGTCTCTCGTCCCACTTTCCCCTTTCCAGCTTTGACCCAACAACCTTCCTCGATGTGATGCGCAACAAGATCTTCATGATCGTCGGGGACTCGTACGCGCTCAACCTGCACGCGTCCATCCGATGCCTCATTGAATCCGTGGCACGCACTCAGGTACGATGCAGGTTACTGGTAACCCTATGATAGCAGCCATGGCAGCACACTCGTACGCCCTCAACCTGCACGCGTCCATGCGATGCCTCATTGGATCCGTCGCGGTCACGCAGGTGAGGTGGTGCTAACTGGAAATGAGGATGATGCTGGCAATGAAGATGATGCTGGCAATGAGGATCATCACCCGCATCGCTTCCTTCACCTCACCCCATTCACGCCGTTCCCTCATCCCACCCCACCCGACACTGTGCGCATAACTTCAAGAGAAGCCTAATCAAAACTGGGGGGCCTGCAAGGGGATTCAGAGCGCCGATCCACAATGCCACCGTCATCCACCACCACACCCATGCCCTTTCTTCACCCCACTCACGCCCTTCTTCACACCTCACGCTGACTGCAGAACTTCAATGGGATCCTCTTCAAGACGGGCGTGCCGGCGAAGGGCTTCATAGTGCCGTCCCACAATGCCACCGCCAGCCTCTCTTTCCTCCCCAACCATCCACACCACTCCTATGCCCTCAACCTTCCCCACACCACACCCCACCACACACCGTATGCAGAACTTCAATGGGAGTCTCTTCAAGACGGGCGTGCCGGCAAAGGGCTTCATAGTGCCGTCCCACAACGCCACCATCATCCGCATTGCTTCGGCCTTCCTCCTGTACGGCGAGCCCGATGTGCGTATCAGATAAATCGCATGTTTGGACGCAGATAGGCACATGTAAAGCGTGTGGCATGTCACATGTGAATGTATGGCGAGCTATAATGCCGTCCCACAATACCACCATCATCTGCATTGCTTCGGCCTTCCTCCTGTATGGTGAACCTGACGTACGTAATCAGATAAGCATTCATGGAGTGCGAGTGTTTCGTGTTAGTGTATGGCGAACCTGATGTACCAGACAGGCATGCATGGATGGAGCATGGCTGTACTGTGCGGGTGAACGTGAACCTGATGTGTACACCGAGATAAGAACATGCAATGCAAAGCGTGCTGTGTGTGAGTGTAATGTGTTGATGTATTGTGTGAGTGTAATGTGTGAGTGTAATGTGTGAGTGTAATGTGTGAGTGTAATGTGTGAGTGTAATGTGTGAGTGTGCAGCGAACCTGATGTGAGCACGTGGACAGCGTGGTTGGATTGGGCGAACCCTGACGTTGCCTATCATGTTATGCCTTCTTTTCTATGGTGTTATTCCCTCTCCACCCCCTTTCAACCCTTTCCGGTTGCGCAGGGCGAGCGCAGTGTGAAGAGCACGTGGACGGTGTGGTTGGGTAAGGTCAACCCCGAGTGGGCGGATCCGCTTCCCTTACCTTTTCCCCCTTTCTGCATCTATGTTCCTCCGTCTCTGGCTTTGTTGCTCAGGGCGAGCGCAGTGTGAAGAGCACGTGGACAGTGTGGTGTGGTTGGATAAGCTGAACCTCTGTTGCCAAAGATGTTCCTCCCTCTGCTCCCCTTTCCGTCGATGCCTCACTATTTCATGCTCAGGGCGAGCGCAGTGTGAAGAGCACATGGACGGTGTGGCTGGATAGGCTGAACCCCGAGTGGGCGGATCTGCTGCCCTTCACAGACTATGTTGTCATGAGCACTGGCTACTGGTACACCAGTGTACGTTGGATGCATGGATGAGTGGATGCATGGATGAGTGAGTGGGGATTGGATTGCTGTGACAGGCATAATCTGCCAATCTGCTGCCGTTCACAGACTATGTGGTATCAGCACCGGCTACTGGTACACCAGTGTACGCTGGGTTGGTTGTCATGTTTCGATTGATGTGAAAGGCACAAGCTGGTGCTCCAGTGTACACCAAGCAGTGTATCTTGCTCTCAACTGAGTCAGTTTTTATCAAGAACTGGCTACTGGTACACCAGCATAAGTTACTCTGAACTGAGTCAGCTTATAATGAGCACTCAGTACTGCCACGCTCTTCTGACCCCACCACCCTCCATCGGTCCATCCTCTGCTGTCTCTGCACCTCCAACCTGAATTCCACTTAAAGCCCTGGAAGCACAAGCAGCACTACTTCGTTAGCAGCACGAACTTCATTCCAAGCTCTTTTGTTATCCAAGATTTGGGAGGAAAAGTGGCTCTATCGCGTCAGCAACAGCAGCCCTCAATCCGGATACCTCTATCTCTCCACCTTACATTACCCCACCCTCTCCAGGCCCGGGAGCACAAGCGGCACTATTACTTCAGCAACAGCAAAAGGAACACCACCCATCCTGACACCTCAATAACCCACCTTCCATCTGCCCACCCGCCATGCCCCCTCTCCAGGCCCGAGAGGAGAAACGCCACTATTACTTCAGCAACAGCACCACACAGCTCTCTTGTTTCGCTCTTCATCCCTCCCGAGGAGAAGCGGCTCCCTTACTCGAGCAACAGCAGCACCACCCATCCTGACACCTCAATCTCCCACCTTCCATCTGCCCACCCGCCATGCCCCCTCTCCAGGCCCGAGAGGAGAAACGCCACTATTACTTCAGCAACAGCACCACACAGCTCTCTTGTTTCGCTCTTCATCCCTCCCGAGGAGAAGCGGCTCCCTTACTCGAGCAACAGCAGCACCACCCATCCTGACACCTCAATCTCCCACCTTCCATCTGCCCACCCGCCATGCCCCTTTTCCAGGCCCGGGAGGAGAAGCGCCACTATCTCCTGAGCAACAGCCCCAACCAGCTCTCCTGGAACCCCGACCAGCGCACCACCATGCAAACCGCTCTAACCACCCTCATCACCCACTTCAACCGCATTAAATACCGCGGTCTCCCCATGTTCCTCTCCTTCACCTCCTCCCACTACGGCTTTGAGCTGGCGGGCACGAAGGCGGTTAAAGGGGCGCAGTATAACTGCACGGATGCGTGGCGGCCAATCAAGTGGCGCCAGGTGTCGCACAGAGAGTGGGCAGTGGAGGATATGCGGTCGCGGAATGCACAAGTGCAGGTGGGGATGGGTCTGATGTGGTGCAATTTGGTGAAGGGATGGCAGGGAATTTAGATGTGAGAGAATCGGTTTGTAAGGATTTGTGCCCGTGTGCGTGTGGCAGCGTATGTGTGAGTGTGCGTGTGTGTGAGTGTGCGTGTGTTTACATGTTTCCTGTAGTGTGTGCATCAGGTCTGCGGCTTTTAAACCAGAAGTTTGCTGTAGGTTACTGTACAGATCCAGGAGCTGTGGTGGGCATTTGCTGTTGCTCCGGCCGCCCCCCTTCCATCCATGTATCCCCTTTATTGTGTGCTCTACTTGCAGATTCTGAGCAAAGCAAAGAACTTCAAGATCCTGGACATCACATATTCCACGCTCTTCCGCCCGGATGCTCATCTCAAGAACTTCAATAATGGGGATGGTGGATTTGACTGCGCCCACTGGTGCATACCTGGCGTACCTGACATGTGGTCTGATCTTGTCTTCAATTACATGCTCAATAACAAGAAATAAATCAGTGGTAATTGAAAACCTCTACTTAATTGCTTTGAATAATTTACCTGTTAAAGTACCGTATTAGCTATATGTATTCCATAATCTTAGAATAAAGAACATCAGACCATGTATCTGGTACACCAGGTAGGCACCAATGCAGGCAGTCAACACCCTTGGGACTCTCACAGTGGTTCTGAAGGTGCCCATCGGCCCGGAAAACAGAGAGCGGAGTCACGTCAACCACTCTGAACTCCTCATATTGCCGCACCACCTGCAGTGCAAGCCACCAACCATACAACATAAGCATCATAAGAGGGTGCATGATCCGTAGCCTCTCCACCTGCAGCTGTAGCCTGCACGGTCTATGGCACAATAACTCAAGAGAACTCTCAGCCATGCTTCAGCCCGCTACAGCTCACCAGCTCGTCAAAATCTGCTGCCACTCGTAGTCACGTTTCAAGCGCCCAGTACGTCTCTAGCCCACAGTGCAGCAGCTGCAGCTCTCTCACAGCATCTAGCACCAGAAACTGCAAGACCACGCTACAGCCAGAATTCACCCCAAGCCAGGAAATTCGCCCGCATTCACCTGCCCATCACTCCACCTCCCAAACCTCACCTCTATTTGCTGTTTCAGAGCTTCCTCATCTGTAGCCCACAGTGCAGCAGCTACAACTCTCTCACAGCATCCAGCACCAGAAACTGCATGACCACGCTACAGCCAGAATTCACCCCAAGCCAGGAAATTCGCCCGCATTCACCTGCCCATCCCTCCACCTCCCAAACCTCACCTCTATTTGCTGTTTCAGAGCTTCCTCAGCATCTGTAGCCCACAGTGCAGCAGCTACAACTCTCTCACAGCATCTAGCACCAGAAACTGCAAGACCACGCTACAGCCAGAATTCACCCCAAGCAAGGAAATTCGCCCGCATTCACCTGCCCATCACTCCACCTCCCAAACCTCACCTCTATTTGCTGTTTCAGAGCTTCCTCAGCATCTGTAGCCCACAGTGCAGCAGCTACAACTCTCTCACAGCATCCAGCACCAGAAACTGCAAGACCACGCTACAGCCATAATTCACCCCAAGCCAGGATTCGCCCGCATTCACCTGCCCATCACTCCACCTCCCAGACCTCACCTCTATTTGCTTTTTTCAGAGCCTCTTCAGCATCTGTAGCACACTGTGTCCCTTGCAGGGCATCCAGCCCCAACAGCCTCAAGAACGCGCTACAACCTATCCCATCTCAACTCCTCGGCACCACTCGAAATTCACTTTAATCTGCGCGTTCCGAGCAGCCATTGCACCTGTCGCCCACTGCGCCCCTTCCAGAGCCTCCACCCCCACGGGGCGCATGTATGAGCTACAGCCCATTCCATCCCAACCCCTCAGCACCCCTCTTAACCCACCTCAATCTGTGCGTTCCGAGCGTCCATGGCATCTGTCGCCCACTGCGCCCCTTCCAGCGCCTCCTCCCCCACGGGGCGCATGTAGGAGCTGCAGCCAAGCTCTGGCGCCGTGCTGTTAGCTCGCAGCTTGATGTGCACGGGCGAGTAGGTCAGCAGCATGGGAATCCCCGTGTAGTTGATGCTGCGCGTGAAGCGTGCGACTGTGTGGAGGGCGGTCTGCATGGTGGCTATGCGGTTCTGGCTTGGCTGCTCCTTGTTGCCCACCATATAGTGTCTCTTCTGCAGGTTGGCCTGAATGAGGGGGAAAGGAGATGAGAGTAGTTGTTAGTTGTGGTGCCAGGCGGTGTAGAGTATTTTTGAGAATTCTCAAAAATACTCTACATCGCCGGGGGAAAGGAGATGAGAGTAGTTGTTAGTTGTGGTGCCATGCGGTGCCTCGTCGCTGCTCCTTGTTGCCAGCCATGTAGTGCCACTTCTTGAGATTGGCCTGGAGTGGGGAGGTGGGTTGGAGGGGAGGTGAGGAGTAGGGGTGCAGAACTTTTGAGAAATCTGGAAAGGCGTGGCTGCTCCTTGTTGCCCACCATGAGCCGCTTCTTTAAGGCTTGTCCGCAGGGGGGAGGAGGGGGGAGAAGAAGAGTTGGGGTGAATTGTGAGATACGCATATCAACTACCGGTTACACATTGTTGTCAGCTGAAAGTTTCTGAAATATATGCCGCATAATACGCGGAACAATGCCTCGTTTGTCCACGCTCTGTTGGGATCCATCCCCTTCATTGTTGTGAGCACATTACCGATTACCCATTGTTGTGAGGGCCACATGACACATTGCAAACCATTGAAGGCGCATTGGACTCACAGTGGTAACTTAAGCTCCAATCCCAAAGACCACATAGTGTGAGTATTGAACCACACGGCTCTGCTCCATGCCAGGTGAAGAATACACAATCATAATATCTATTATTCTTCCTGTAGCTCTACATCATAAGGTGCATATTGACTCACAATGGTGTACCAAGCTCCGATCCCAAAGATTGCATAGTCGGAGTATGGAAGCACAGGCGACCAGTTCGGATGCACCTGGTCCAGATGCACCGTCCATGTGCTGGCCGTGGTTGGAGCGCCCTGGTGAGTCAGAGAGGAGAGGGGAGAGGGGAGAGGGGAGAGGGGAGAATGCAGCGGACCATCGTGTTGAGCAGAGGGTTCAATCCGGATGTTCATGCACCATGCTTGCCGTGGTCTTGGCGCCCTGGTGAGGCAGAGGCGAGAGGGGAGAGGGGAGAGGGAAGAAAGGAGGATGATGCAGTGCAGCATAGGATGCAGGAGAGGGTGCAATCCGGATGCACTGCCCATGTGCTTGCAGTGGCCTTATCACCAATAAAACGGGCGGGAAAGGAACAGGCGTGCTTTGAAATGTCTCAAAGTCGTTCAGTGGGTGCAACTCACTATCCCGTAAAAATGGTATGGCAGCATGGTTGGTAGCCGCGAGGGCTTACACTGGGAATAGGTTGGGCGAGGGAAAAGGAGGCGTGTTTTGAAATATCACAAAAGCCTTACACTCTGCAACTCACAGTCGGGTGGACATGGCAGCATAGGCTGATAGCAGTGGGGCTTACACTGGGAATGGATTGGACGAGGAAGGAGGAAGCGTGGCTTAGGAAGGTAGCATTGAAGCGCGGTGCAAGCACGGCGCGAGTCCTTGGCCCTCCTGGGAACAGCGGGCCGTCCCTGCTCTGTGAACAGGGGTTAGGGAACCAAGCAGGAAAAATTAGGAGGAGTGTTGAGGAAAGGAAGGTAGGAATGAGGTGTGGTGCAATCACAGCGCGAGTCCTTTGCCCTCCTGGGAACAGAGGGCCGTCCCTCTCTGTCAAGTCAACAGGGGTTTGGTTGGGAGGGCGAGAGGGTGCAAGGAGGGGGAGCGTGGACGAATGGAAGGTGGCATTGAAGTGTGGTGCAGTCACGAAGAGAGAAGTCCTTAGTCCTCCTAGAAACAGCGGGTTGTCCCTTCTCTTTCCGGTCAATGGGGGTCGGAAGGGCAAGCAGGAGAAAGGAGGAAGGGGTGAGGGTATCAGGGAGAAGAGGGTTGGGAGGGCAAGGGGTGAGGGTATTAGGGCAAAGAGGGTTGGGAGGGCAAGGGGTGAGGGTATTAGGGCAAAAAGAGTTGGGAGGGTAAGGGGTGAGGGTATTAGGGCAAAGAGGGTTGGGAAGGCAGGGGATGAGGTTATTGGGGTAACAGGGTTGGGAGGGCAAAGGTATGAGGAGGGGAGGGGACGTGTCATGGAGGAAAGAAGGCAAGGACGGAACCAGATGCATTTTGCTTCGCAGGCGTTGAAAGTGGACAGATGCATTGAACCTGGACAGTGTAACACACCTTGGTTGGAGTGGCTGTTTCGATGAGGCATTGGAGGGCTGCAAAGAAATTCATGGAGAGGGAATCCCCCACGACCATGAACACCTTGTTGCGCATGCGCTCCAGGAAGGCAGATGCATTGAACCTGGACACGGGACGAGATGATGCGGAAGATACACGGAACCTGGTCAGATTCGATTGACGCAGGAACGAACAGAATATAAAGTGCATTATATGGAACATCATGCATTCAAATGGCCAAGAACTGACCCGAGCAACGCCAGTCGTACTGCAGGTACATCAAGGCATGAGGCTCGTTGCATTCACAAGAATGTTGTGCAATGTGCAGCACCTTCAAGGCATGCACCTCGTACTACATCACGCCGTTCCTCTCTCTCTAGCCAGGGAAAAACTTCGCAAGCATGTTGTGCAATGTGCAGCACCTTCAAGGCATGCACCTCGTACTACATCACGCCGTTCCTCTCTCTCTAGCCAGGGCCAAACTTCGCAAGCATGTAGTGCAATGTGCAGCACCTTCAAGGCATGCACCTCGTACTACATCACGCCGTTCCTCTCTCTCTAGCCTGGGGCCAAACTTCGCAAGCATGTAGTGCAGCAGAGCAGAGCACCCCTCAACACTTGCCTCTGCCTCTCACAAACCTGACATACATACCTCTCAATGCAGCAGCCAGGGCTGCTCCACTGCTACTGCCGGTACCTCAAGGCATGAGGCCCGAGCCTTAGAAGCATGTTAATACCTGCAGGGACCTCTCACAACCCATACACACCTATCAATGCGGCACCCAGAGCTGCGCCAATCGTACTGCAGGCACCACATGTTGGTGCGCCCGCTGCACTCAAATGAATCTTGTGTTTTTTTTTCTTAGCATTCTAATAGAACGCATCTTGAGCATTGTGCAACGACTCCAAGCACTTGCCTCTGGCGCTCACAAGCTAGGAGTAAGAACGCACCTCTCAATGCGGCACCCAGGGCTGCGCCACTCGCACTGCAGGTACCACAAGGCATGAGGCCCGAAACTCACAAGCATGTTGGTACCTGCAGGTACCTCTCGCAACCCATACGTACCTCTCACAACCCAAACGCACCTCTCAATGCGGCACCCAGGGCTGCGCCACTCGTACTGCAGGTACCGCATGTTGGCTCGCCCATTGCGCTGGCAGTTGAATTGTCGACTCAAGCTCTTGCAGCTCTTCCCGGTGTACTGTGGCTGGCGGGATGGATTGGCCTCCCAGCTGGTGGTGCAGGGCGGGCAAGGGAAACAGGAGTGTGAAACAGGATAATGCTCTTGCAGCCCTCGCCTGTGTCCTGCGGCTGGAGTAACGGGGTGACGCCCACATGTTGTTACAGGGTTGGGTATGATGCGAAACAGCGGTACTCGTGCTTTTCTCTACATGCATATTAATGTACCAAGATTCAGCTCCTGCAGCTCTAGCCTGACCTGACATGCAGGTCCCATGTGTGTCCTTGTCACCTGACATTCCATGTAGATCACATCGCAATGTCTGCATTTGCCATCTGACATACCATGCAGGTCGCATCGCGTGTGCAGTTGCCAACTGACACACCTTCCAACGGATAGATCACAAATCGTTGATGGCGAAACCGCGGTTTCGCGTTCTGGCTTAGGTTCGGACGGTTTCTCAGGTTCGGATTGCTGCTCCGGCGTAGGTTGGGGACCGCCAGCAAGCTCAGCTTGGCCTACAGCAGCAGTTGACGCAGACTCCGTTTGCGTTGGCGATTCCGTCGCTTCTTCTGATCCGATACTCAGAACGTCAGGTCTTGAAAGCGAGGAGTGAAAAAAAAGAGCGACGAATATCAGTATGAGAACAAGCGACGCGAAGAGAAAGCGCTGCTTGGCGCGCTTCCAGTCTGCTGTACCCGCGGTTGGCGGCGGAATCTCAAGAGAAGACATTTCGACCTTGAAAGAGGAACGACGGATTCGTTCGTGCAAAGACCTAGAGGGAACGTGCTGAGATCGCTATTTCCAAACGGAGCCCTGCATTGGTTGCTCCAGATGCTGCAGATGAATAAAAGTCATGCGAAGGCGGCAGCGAAATCGACGCTATGTGAAGCCGTCCATGGAGGAAAATGCGAAGCGGTGAGTATGGTAACATATGTCCAGACTTGTCAATGCGTGTGGTGATGAGCAGGAGGTATGGTGGATTTGTGTGTGGGCTGGGCTTGACTTGAAATCAGGGCTGCCTCCCTGTCCTCGAGATTATTTGCAGGGATGCCGACTGAGTCCACTGGCAAGCCGCGCGAGTCATGGCAGGGATTGGTTGGAATCGATGGCATCTTCGCCGCGCATCCCATCCAGTCACCATTCGAAACGCCAGGGTTGCCCCTGAAATTCCGTATTCGTGATATTAGGTTCTCCGTACACACCATCGTGAAAATGCAATGAATGGGCTTAACAAGGCTTGTTGTGACACAATGCAGATTAGGGTCCTCTATAAGTATCCCATCATATAGGAATATATGATGTCAGCCCAGGTATCTGGTACACCAGGAATGCACCAATGCAGGCAGTCAATCCCTCCCTCAATATCGAAGTAGGATTGGAGGTGACCATCTGCTCTATACAAGGATAAGTTGGTAATATCTATAATTTTAAACTCGGGGTCATGTCGAAACACCTGCCATGATACACACGCAATGAACGAAGTAACATCAGTTCCATTCATCCAAACATCCATAAGAGGCCAATCATCTTGGCGTCATGAGAACAACTGTATATAGTCAACATTGCAATTGGGTCATACCTTCAGTTGGGCCTTGCGAGTCTTCACTGCTTCAACCGCCCAATCCATATTGGCGACTTGCTCGATGGTTAACGGCCGTTGGATGACGCTGCAGTTGGCATGCTGCATGCTCTCATTCAGCCTCACATCGTAATGCATCGGGGTGAAGGTTAGGAACATCGGCATGCCAGTGTACTTCAGGCTCCGAGTGAACTTCCTCACTGTGTTTATAGCGAGTTGCATTGTAAGGATGCGGTCCATTTCAGGCTGCAGAGTGTTGTTAATATAGTAATGGCGCTTCTTGGGATCCGCCTGGTGAAAGCAGTTTGGGAAGGGAAGGATTAAAGGGAGCAGGGAAAAGAGGTCTTGGAAGTTCGGGTAATTGATGGTATCGGGTGCTGTGATTACGCAATATTTAATGTGATTGTAAAAGAATTAATCATATCAAAGCTTGCGATGGTGTACCAGACAGCTCCAGATAGCTCCTAGTGTTTGTGACTGTAATTAACTTGCAGAACTCAGCAAAACGGAAACTTCAGAACTCACCATGGTGTACCAGACACCAGTTCCAAACAGCGCATAGTGCGAGTACTGTAGCAGTGGCGACCAATCAGGATTCACCTGGTCCAGATGCACCGTCCACGTGCTTGCGCTGGACCTGTCACCCTGATTAGCACGAGAGGGGAGAGCGGAGAGAGGATACAGCAGGGATGTGACAAGAAAGAAAGGGTTTCTAATCGGATGCACCGTCCACGTGCTTGCACTGGCCCCTGATTAGCCAGAGAGGGAGGAGGATACGGCAGGGATGTGACAGAGGGGTGAGGGGAGAAAAAGGTTTCTAATAGGATGCACTGTGCATGTGCTGGCACCAGCCGTATCACCCTCGCTTGTAGGACGGAGAGGATAGAGGGGAGAAGGGAGAGGGGAGAAGGGAGAGGATAGAAAGGAGGGGGTAAAGGGGAGAGGGGAGAGAGGGAGAGGGGAGAAGGGAGAGGGGAGAGGGGAGAATCGAGGGGATAGGAGGGAGGAGAGGGGAGGGGCAGCTTATATTAATTGAAGTGCATCAAATCTGGGCTTATATCGAGTATGGACGGAGCAGCTTACATCGGGAATGGAGTTGGCGAGGAAGGAGGAGGGGTGGCGCAGCAGCGTTGCATTGAAGGCCGGTACGTAGATCCCATGTGACTTTGGCCCCCCGGGGAACAGAGGCCCCTCCACTCCCTGCAACCACGGAGGGGAAGTGGAGTGGGAAGGGGGAGGGGTGGCGCAGCAGCGTGGCATTGAAGGCCGGTACGCAGATCCAATGTGTCTTTGGCCCTCCGGGGAACAGAGGCCCGTCCACTCCCTGCAACCACGGAGGAGACGGAGAATGGGAGGGGGGAAGGAAGAGGAAGAGGAGGTGGGGGGAAATGGTGGAATGGGGAAACGGTGGGAGGGGAGATTAGTGAGAGGGCAGGGATTGAGCATGTGCACTGGTTATAAGAAGCGGAAAATTGTGGTTAAGAGCGGTAATTGAAGAAGAGGAAGAGGAAGAGGAAGAGGAAGAGGAAGAGGAAGAGGAAGAGGAAGAAGAAAGAAGAAAAATAGCGTGTGACGATAACAGTGCATCACCTTAATGCACGAGGATATGACGCGGCATCACCTGAGAGAATGTGAATATAAACGGGGCGTCACCTGGGTGAGTGTGACTAAGACAGGGCGGCCTCTGTGTGCTACTGAGAATAAAGGGGTGTCACCTGAACGATTGTGACTATACTGAGTCGATACCTCAGTGGGTGTGACTGTCTCAACGAGGCACTGTAGCGAGGAGAAGAGGTTCATAGTGAGCGAGTCCCCCACGAATAGAAAGACCTTATTGCGCATGAGCGTGAGGAAGGAGAGCGGCTTGAATCTGGTGGAGTGCGGTGGGAAGGGGTAGAGTGCGTTCGAACTGGAGGGCGCAGAGGTTCATAGTGAGCGAGTCCCCCACGACTAGGAAGACCTTGTTGCGCAGGAGCGTGAGGAAGGAGAGCGGCTTGTATCTGGTGGGAGGGGACAGCGCGGGGGAGCGCATGGGGGAAATTGGGGACATGGAGACCATGGGGAGAGGAAATTTCGGCAATGAGGTGGAAGGCATGGGAACAGTGCGGTTGAGGGCATGGGGGACGATGAGGGGGGGGGCATGGGGGGCAATGCGGGGGAGGGCATGGGGGGCAATGAGGGGGAGGGCATGGGGGCAATGGCAAAGGAGTGGGGAGCAATCGGAGGCACATGGGCGCAAGGGGAGGAAGGGCATGGGAAGCATTTCGAGAGATCGCATGGGGGGGAACACGGGGAAGGGCAGACATGGGGAGCAATGCAGATGAGGCGGAATGCGGACATGGGGAGGAGGGGAAGGGAGGTGGGGGTTGGGAGGAAAGGGAAGCATACTCCGCGATGGTGCATCCGAAGCTGCGCCACGTGTACTTCTCGTACTCCGAGTCGGGCCGCCCGTTGCGCTGGCACGCGAAGTTGCGCCCCAGGCTCTTGCAGCTCTCCGCCGTGTATTGCGGCGCGAGTCGCGGGGTGTAGATCCATCTGTTGACGGGGGAGGAGAGGGTGAGATGAGCTGATCTCGCCGTGTATTGCGGCGCGAGTTGCGGGCTGTAGATCCATCTGGCGCGATGAGAGTCAGGAAGGGGAGAAGTGAGAGGAGGGCGGGATAGAGGCTATTGAGTCTAGACGGTGGGAGCGACAGATAGGCACGAATGGACGGGGAGAGTAAGAGGGGACGGCAGGTGGCAATAGGTTACGGCTATAAGGGACGGCAATAAGGGACGGCAATGAGGGACGGCAATGAGGGACGGCAATGAGGGACGGCAATGAGG